TCACTTTTTTTTACACTAATATATTATATTTTTTTCTTCATCACTTTATTTTTTTTTTGCTAACATGGTGAGTTTTAAATATTATTTATCTTTTTGTTTCCTATTTCATATTATAACTAAATATAATATAATATTTTTATTTTATTTGTCTTTTCTTTTTATTTGTCCAAAATATGTATATTGTTGTATGATTTGTTTTTCTTATTAGTCTTATTATTTTTTTATGAATTTTTTATAAAATATATGATAGTTGTTCTTTTAAAAAAAATTTATAATTTTATCTGTTTAAAATTTATAATTCTTTTCATTGTAGATTATTAATGGTTTTTTTTTTGTGTGTGTTAATGAGAGAACTTTATTCATGAGATTAAGGTCAATTGGAACAATAAAAGTGTTAATTCATATGCTGAACTGATTATGAAAAATATGAATTTGATAGAGATCAAGTCATATGAAGATATATATATATATATATAGATTTTTCGCAAGAATATTTTATATTTCTTATTTTATTCATATTATACTATTATTAACTTTTTAGTTCTTAACAATAAAAGTGTTAATTCATATGCTGAACTGATTATGAAAAATATGAATTTGATAGAGATCAAGTCATATGAAGATATATATATATATATATATATAGATTTTGCGCAAGAATATTTTATATTTCTTATTTTATTCATATTATACTATTATTAACTTTTTAGTTCTTTTAAATAGAAATTATACTTTACATTTTTTCTAAATTGTGTATATATCTAATATTACTATTACATATATTTGAAAATATACGTTCAATTGCATTAAAATCTCATTCAAATCACTTTCATTTTGTAACTTTGATTTGAGAACTTATATTAATATATCAAAACAATTTGAAATATAAGTTAAAGAATAAAATTTAAACAAAAAAAAAAAGACAAGAAATTGAAAATGAGAGGAGGGATAAGTAAAAACCCATAAAATAAAATTTTGCAAATTACTCAATTATAGAAAAAAGAGTTAGTAAAGACTTATGTAAAAAAGAAGAAGAAGAAGAATTCTAAAATACTTTCCCTTATTTTATAATATTTCATGTAGATTTTACATATTAATAATAACTATAGTTTGATTTTTTATTTAAATAATAGTTGATACTTTTTAACCTCAATTTTGAAGAATTATGAATTTAATTAAATAACGATTAAAATAATTGAGGAAGATAGAAAAATAATAAAAAAATTATGAGATAAAAATTATTTGATTATTAGATTAGTAATTAATAAAATTTATATTAAAAAAAGAAAATCAAAATTCTACCCCATGTATAAAGAAAATCTATATATCCAACAATGAATAATTTATATATATATATATAAATAATATGCTACCTTATGCATTAAGTACAGTATACATTTGTTTAAAATATAATATAATATTATATTTATTTCTTATCATTCTTTTCAAGATGCTACCCTATGTATTAATGAGGATATATATTTACAAAAAAATATAACAAAAACCAAAATCCATAATATAGGTGAAGAGATTGGTCCATGTATAATTAATTTCTCTTGATATATGAAGAGGTAATGCCATTTAAATAGTGTTTTCCTTTGTATAACAATATGCATTAATTTCTCTTGGTAAATGAAGAGGCAAGACTATTTAAAATATGTATTTATATAAAATATGATAAAAACTAAAAACCTATATGGTGAA